GCATGTGGCGCTGGGGGATCGAACCGCGGTCCCTGATGCTTTGCTAAGCTTGTTCTAAGTAGGTGCTTTAGACCACTGAGCCATCTCTCCAGCCCAACACTAAGATTTATTTAAAACATTACATGAATTGCCCAACTGGGAAAATACTTGGTCACAAATCTGTAACTGCAGTTCAGGAGCTTTATTGTTGATCCTAAGAATGGTGGAGGTAAAGCAAAGAGTTTATTCAGGGAACTTAATCATTTGTGGGAATTAAGCAGTGGTTTTCCTTCACCATGCTCCACTGACATGCACGATAGATGATCCTGATATTATTTTCTGAGTGTCCAGAGTTTTAATGTGGTAGAGTACATATATCAGGAGATTGAGGAGTCAATAATGACTGTAAAAGCCGGTGAGATAGCTCAGCAGACTAAGCATTTGCTTTGGCAAGCACAGGGACCAGGGTTTGATCCCCAGTCCAGCATGCCACACTCGCCCCACCCCTGGGCACTCTGAGCCAGCGACCAAATCTAGGAGTGGTGGAGCACCCCTTTGATCCCAGTACAGGGGAGGCTGAAAACAGAAGGATCACATGTCCGAGCTGCGTAGTGAGACCCTGTACCAAATACATAAAATATAAATAAATAAATGCTACAATATTATTTTACCTTTTCATGATTCTAATAGTGACATTTTACTGATTTTAAGTTAAACCTAATATTCAAATAATAAATTGATGCTTTTTTCCTTAGCAGAATCAGTGTGGAACTGTTGTTTTTTCTGTCTATAGAATTTCAAAGCATGTGTATTCCTTTCCTTCCTGTAGGTTTCTCCACATCCCTCTTGCTAGACTTGGGTTCTGAGTATAATTAAACATAGGTTTATTTGCCTTTCAAAGACCCTCCATCTTTTTAAACTAACATATTTGTATTCATCTATGGGATATAATAGTATACTTCAATACAGGTGTTACATGAAGGGTAGTTGGTATTTGTATTTCTGTCTTCTCAACTATCATTTCTGTGTTTTGGGAAACTTGAAACTCTTTAGTTACGTTGAAATGTGTAATTTACTGTGGTAAACTATAGTTACTCTATTGTACAATACAGCATTAGAACTACTACCCCCTGCTACCACTCCATTTTGGTACCCATTATCCACCTTCTCTATACCCTCTTCCCTCCCCTTCCTGGCCTCTAGTGATCAATAGTCTACTTTCTATTTATGATCAATGTTTTTAGTTTACAAAAATGAGTAAGAACATATAGTATTTTGTCTTTCTGTCCTTACTTTAATTACTATAATGTCTACCAGTTTCATCATGTGGTAAGTGACAGGATTTCATCCCTTTTATAATAAAACTTCCATTTATGGGTGAGTGAATTTTATACCATGAGATATTATTTAGCTATAAGGAACTTAACTTCTATTACCTACAAGAGGAGTTGGCACTAAATGTTTAAATTTTTCTTTTGAGCGTCAGTTGTTCTTAAAGACGCTCCCTGCCTAATTATCAGACACTCTGTTTTGAACTCTCATGTCCTATAAGCAGTTACCTCTTGCAGACTGATTTTTTTTTTTAATTAGTACATCTTTGCAGTACATAGTGATTACACTCATCATGGGGAGTGGTTACATATACTTAACACATCTTAAATCTTTTTTTTTCCCCTCCATCTCTTGGTCCTACACCTTTTTGTAAAAGTTCTGTCTGTTTCCTATTGTCTGTCTTTTATTTTCCTCTTTATTTATACTTCGGGTTTCTCATATAAGAGAAACTATGGTATATATAAGCTTGTGTGTCTGATTTATTTCACTTAATATGATCCCAAGTGCATCTATTTTCTGACAAATGATTCATTTATTCTTTATGACAGAGTGGTACTCCATTGTGTATAAATACATTTTCTTTATCTTGAAGGACATATAGACAACTTCTGAGATTTGGTGATTATGAATGCTATAAACATGATATGCATGTGTTACTGGAATATGATGTCTTTAACTCTTATGTCTTTAATCCATTTTTATTTAAGCTTAGTACATAGTGAGAGATACAGATCTAGATTCAATCTATTGTATGTATGTAGCAAATCTTTTTAATACTGTTTGGTAAAGAGATCTGGTTTTAGCCACTTTGTCAAAGATCAGCTAGTTGAATTTCCCTGGAGATTTTTCTGTACCTCTATCCTCTTTTATTGATCTATATGTCTGTCTTTGTATCAGTACTATGCTGGTTTTATTTTTTTTAATAGCTTTGTAATATAGTAACTTGTAATCCAGGATTGTTATATCTCTACTTTGTTCTTGTTGCTCAGGATGCTTCTGCTTTTCGGGGTCTCTGGTTTTATATGAATTTTTGAATTGTTTTCTCTAGTTTTCCGAAGAATGATAGTGTATATTGAGATTGCGTAAAATCTATATATATCAGTTTTGGGATTATGTTCATTTTGACTTTATTGGTTCTGCCAATACAGGAACAGGCATAGCGTTCCATTTTCTGTTCTCTGTAGTCTGCTTTTTCAGAATACTGTATATTTTATTGTAGAGGTTTTTCAGTTCCTAAATGAGATGAAATCCTAAATAATTAATTTTTCTTGCTGCTATTGTGAATGGTATTGTTTTCTTAGTGCACTGTTGATACACAGGAGTGCTGTTTTTAATGCTGATTTTTGTATCCTGATACATTGTTGAATTTGGTTGTTAATTCTAAGTGTTCTGGTGGAATTTTTGTGTCTTCTGTATAAAGGATTACATCATCTGCAAATAATGACAATTTGGCTTCTTCAGCTCCTCTACATACCCTTTGTTCTTACTCTTCCTCCTCCTCCTCCTCCTCCTCGCCCTCCTCTTCCTTCTCATTTTTCTCTTTCCTTCCCCTCCTCCTTCTTTCTCTTCCCACCTTTCAGTTTCTTTAAGGAGTTTGAGGAGTTACTGGCATTAGATCTTCCATAAAGTTCTTGCAAGAATTTATTGGCTTTTCTTAATATTTTTTTTCTTATTACAACTTCAATTTTGTTGCCTATTATTAGATTATTCAGTTTTTATAACTTGTTAATTTTTGGTAATTCATATTTGTCTAGGAATACATTTCTTCTGGATTCTCAATTTATCAAAGTACAGGTTTTCAAAGTAGTTACTAATCTGGATTTTAGTGATGTATGTTGTGATTTTACCTTGTTCATTTCTAATTGTATTGATTTGAGTCTTTTCTTTCCCTTTTTGGTAAGATTGGCTGAGTTTCTGTTTTGTTTATTCTTTTGAAGAACAAATCTTCCATTCATTGATTCTGTGTAATTTTTTAGTCTCAATTTCATTAATTTCTACCCTTTATAATTTCTTTCTTTTTACTAGCTTTTTAGATTTGGGTTATTGTTGCTTACTAGGACTTTCAAGTACATCATTAGATTATTTATTTGGGCTCATGCTGTTTTTCTTATGTGAGCATTCACAACTATAAACTTTGCTTAGGACTGTTTTTGTTGTTTCCCATAGGTTCTGATATGTTGTACTGGCAGTATCATCTGATTCTCAGACCTGATTTCTTTCTTAATTTGTTCTGTGACCCATTTATTATTTCACATTCTCAATTGGACCCTACTGTTCATCTGTCTCACTGCTGGACAGCTTTGTTTTAGTATGTCCTGCTGGCATGAACAACCTGTAATACATGCATGACTACCTAAAAAAAATAGGTGGGGAGATAGCTCAGTTGAAAAAGTGCTTGCCTGGCAAGCTGAAAGGCCTGTGTTCAATATCTGGCTCTGCAAAAAATAAATACGTACATTTTTTAAAAATTTAACAAAATGGGTGCCACTGTGACCATTAAAAAAAAATTTTTTTTTGCACTCTGCAGAAATAAGCCACATTTATGTATAAAATGTTTTAAAGAAATTAATGAAATTGCCAGGCATGATAGCACACACCTGTAATCAACTCAAGGCCACCTTGGGCTATATAGTGAGTTCAAGGCCAACCTGGCCTACATCATGAGATCCTATCTCCCAAAAAAGAAAAAAATAGGGCTGGGGAGATAACTCAGTGGCTTAAGCACTTGCCTAGCAACCTCAGGGTCCTGAGTTCAATCTCGGATATCATACAAAAAAAAAAAAAAAAGATTAAAAAAAGAAAAGAATAAGAAATTCATCCAACTGGCCAGATAGCTCAGTGGATTAAAGCACCTGCTTAGGCAAATGTGGAGACCAGGGTTCAAGTCCCCAAAGTCCCCACATGCCACACCGCAACTTGCGCTAAGATGGTAGTTGAGACTGGGCGTGATGGCACACATGCCTATAACCCCTGCTCTTGGGAGGCTGAAAAGAGGAGAATCACTATGAGTCTGATCTGTATTGTGAGACCCTGTAGACCCTGTACTAAGTACAAAAAAATTCATAAAATAAATTTCGTTAATGAAATAAATTTGTTGATTATTGCAATTATTTTTAATTAGTATGAATAGTATTTATATGTGAGTTGTAATTCAAATTCAGACAGTAACTAGATTCAGTCCATTTATAGACTGTTAATTTTATTAATAAAAAGACGTGATATACCACCAGTGGTTTAAGCTGCCTGATGGAATGTATGTAACCCACTGATGGTTCCAGTCAGTGAGAATGTGCTAATCTCCATGTGTTTCCATAATTTTTGTGGTTTCCTTTTCCCATTGATTTAT